AGATCAGTGGCTATAACCAACTGGAACCAAGTTGGCCAGACTCTGTGTATAGATGGCGCTGCCTTTAGAGTATAATGAAAGTACCTCAAAAATGCGATTATAACATTTATAATACTCTGTTAATGAGAATCTGTTATCGAAGATAGGTCAAGACGATGAGTGCGGGAGGTAGGAAACGGTAGAAGAGGAGAGTTGGAAAAGGGAGAAGAGACAGAGAGGAGGAAAGAGAGTAAGATAGAAGGAAAGATATATATATGTAGAGAGGAAGAGAGAGCGAGAGGGAGGGGGGGGGTCTTCCTTAATATAAAATTAAAAAAAATCTGCTTCCAATAACTTCCACGATTTGATCATTGAGTCTTTCTCCTATTTGTTGATACAATCTCGATCCAATCAACTAAAGCTTACAGGTGTTCGTAAACCTGTCACTAATTTGAGTACTTTAACACATCATTTCCATGATCATAATTTACTAGTAAGTGTAAGGTCAACAACATGTGGGGAGAAAGATGAGCAAACGGTAGGCAAGTACAATGGCGTAGCGTAGGAGTCACGGGGCCAAGTGCCCCCAATCGCATGTAAAATATAAAAAAAGACAACAAAAGAAGGAAAAAAAGAGAACAAAATATAAAGAGAGAGAGAGATAGAGGGGGAGGGAGAAAAAAAATAGAGAGAGAGAGAGAAGGGGATGGGAGGAGGAGGAAGGAGAGAGGGAGGCAATGCAAATTTAAAAAAAAATGATACGCTCTCCTTCCTTCCAAACCTGCCCGTCTCTCGAAAACGTTGATTTCATCCAGTATGCGCAGTATCCTCCACGGCACCAGCGCCCCCCCCCCCCCCCCACAATATTGCTCGAGCCATGCTGCGTCACTGTGAGACCACACCATTAAACAGATACTTCATCATTCTGCAATAATGAAAACCATTCAGTTTCAAACATCAGCGTTGCTATCATTTCAAGCAAAATATGTATTAAACATTATTTTGTGAAATGTGAACGATGGCCTCAGCAGACATTTCACGAATTTGTTTAATGTGCTGAAACAGCAGAATCTCACTGAGATCTCTGGAAGACCAACTAAGTGTTTTATCACTGTTTACTGCCTCTCAAAACTTCAAGCTGTGATCTTCGTGGCATTTGAATATTCTTCAAATATTTCAAGATTTTACGATTGAAAGGACTGCTTTCGTCATCGAAATTGTAAGTCTTAACGATCGGAATTTCCTTCTGGCCTATATCGATAGACACCGATATCAGAGACCACGATGGTAAGTGATTATTTGTATAAATTCTCCCGGTTTTCAATTCCTTATATAATTGATTGAATATGGTTGTTTTGCGATGACATTTTTGAAGAAATACATCATAAGTGTTGTATTTTGATGCTGTTTTATCATCATAATGTCGCATCTAAAGTAATATTATACAAATAATTAATGGTTAGAATGTTAATCTTTCAACTCATGAAAATATTCGCACTATTAAACGAATGAAAAACATTCATTATTTGTTTTATACAACATCGAAGAAGATCTTATAGAATGTTAGTCAACAAATTATGTTTTACTCCTTATATTAAAGATAAATTAAATTCGGAGTCAAGCCTTCTCGATTTCATTCAGATTGCCTTCGCGTCAGATACACGCAGGGATACACGCACGGCAGAGAGGTACGCAATCTGCATATATCCAAAAATGCACGCCCGTGCAATATAACATCTATTGAATACCATGTGACCAACAATCCTCCAATCAAATGACAAGGATCCACGTAGGTGTTGTATAAAACAACATATATATCCAGGATGTTAACCATCTCTTGATAGCTAATTGTGGAGGTGTCATGGTATTATAATACTGGTTCTTTCACTTGACTCTCAATCTAAGGGTTGAAGGTTCGTATCCCAGCCCGGCACTAACGTTCTTTGGCAAGACATTAGGGACTTTTAGATTTGCGTTGACTGATACGTGTGACGTCCATTCAAGGCAATGCATTAAAAGGACGTCGATCGTAGCAATCCACGTTGTCGTTGTGCAAATCTAAAAGTCTCTATTGATACACATTTGCCACCCCCAGCCAGGTGTTAATGGGAACCTGGCTATTGTTTCGGGGGTAATGACAATTACATGGCCCTAAGGAAAAACAAACAATAATACTCTGATGAGGCTTTCAATTATTATTATGAGTACTATTATCGTGATCATTACTCAAGTTATATGGGAGTTGTGACGAGCAAGAAGAGGTACAATTCAAGAAAAAATATCAACATTCACAAAGAGTTTTTGCAAATGTGCATAAATCTAATTAATTTGAATTTTTAACCTTTTGATCTTTCATCGACTAATAAACCTTTCATTAAAAAAGGTTCCAATTGCGTTATTCCGATCCTTTCATCCCCAGCGCTTCAATATTTTTGACAGTCGCTAGATACTTCATTATTGTGGCAATTATCAAGATCATACTTGAAATCTGCTGCTTATTGTATATATGACGTAGTCCACACATGACATGCCTTTTTGTAGATCATTTGTACTGATTCTGACCAATTTTGCTACGGTGACATTGTTATCAAGTTTATCGCGTTTAATTAAGAATATGAAAGACGCCTGCAATTATGGACATGCATTTAGATCCACAACGCGATTGAGTGTAGCCTAACCCATGAGTGTTTACATTGCACGTCAGATTCTCGATTAATTACACCGATTATTTTTTTTTTAAGGCTGTAGGTTTATTAGGATTTGAGGAATGATTTCTTTGCAGATAATCTTCATCAAAATACTTACCTTACATTATGTGTTGCCAATCATAATGTCACTTGCGAGATCAATGAGATTGATCAGTGTTTTCGTTAATTTCGTTTGATACTTTATCATGTGTTTGTATTTCAGTTTCGTTTTTTTAAAGTTTATTGTTTCATATTTCAAGATTTCACATTTTGCAATAATTTCACAAATATAATGATTCAAACAAAAATGAAATATTTCAACAGAGAAACAGAGACTAAAGCAGAAAGTGATTGCCTCCTACCAATGTGTTTGCATGCAGTAAATTAAAAAAAAAGACTGAACTTGAAAAGGAGAATGTGAGTTGAGTTATAGACTCATACTCATAAGGGTAGGTAATTTAATAAGAGTCTTTTAAAATTGAGGGAACAAGCAATGTAAGATAAAAGAAACTGTGTATACAGATAAAATTAATGCCAGGTCAAGCACAGGATTACAATACGCATTCGAAAAACATGACAATGGATAGCATTACTTTCATCATAATAATGTACCAAATTACATTATTTGAATAAGTTTACGTTACCTGTACGTCTTGGCAGCAGCAGCAACAACAACAACAACAACAACAACAACAACAACAACAACAGAAAAAGAACAATAATGGAGTCATGCTAGATAGGCCACTGTCGTAATGTAATCCATTTAGATAATGTATAAATCTCCGTTTAAGTGCCACGTTTGAAATTATTTCATTCACCTGTTACGAATTGTATTTCATTAGTCAGAATGCGAATTGCTTACATTCCGTTTTGTTAGGTAATACTAAGCCATAACGTTTGTCCTACTTTGCAACAATACATGTATGCAATTCGTATTATGACTATTGAAAAATACAAATATTTTTAACAGGTGATTGAAATAATTTGTAACATGGCACTTAACAAAGATTTAATCATGAAATTCGATTATCTTACGAAAATGGTCCATTAACGAGGTTGAGATGTCAGCCATACTGATCAGGCATTTCAGAATACACTATTAGCGAAGTGCACAAGACATGTTAACAGTCACTTCTCTGAGCACCTCATTATACGAGTCACTGCACCCAGGTAGCCTCATATACTCATATATACTCAGTGGATGCGAATCACTGAAATCCTCATTTTTAATTCGTTAATTTTAAATTTGTTGATACGTGGATTACTTTAATAATAGCCTCCCACGCTTATTGGTCTTTTCTGAATTTATCTTTTCCAGGCAAAATATATAAACCTCGTTTTCTACTTTCTCCTGACGTCGCTTTCCAGTTTCAAAGGTGAGGAAACTAGAAAGGCACACATTAATTCATTTGAAAAAGAAAATAAAACAGTAGGGAAAAGTCGATGACAGTAAAGGACAAGATGATATGAAATGATGCATTTCAAAATTATGAGCGATAAATTTAATCAGGGAATGATATTGTTAATTACCATGACGGTTTATATATGCTTCTGTGATTTAGGGGACGTAGTCAGAGATGTCTACAAATCACATTATGTTTAGGTAATGGACAATGACATATTAATTTGAATTGGGAAAAGAACCCATTTTCACTTTTCTGCTCTGAACATTTAAAAAGAATGGTTTGGGGGATAAGGTTTGATGAATTTTCAAACATTCAATCGGATTCTGCAACACACATGTTAAGTGTTTACCGTAGATCAAAGACTACCTTTGAGCACCGGAATGATTTTATATCATCGAAACTCTTATAACAGGTATAAAACCTTAAACGTTCTCCTCATTACCCATTTTCAAAATGGATCCAAATTTATAGAAAATCACTTATGTAAACGAGCTATTACATTCACCTGTTTTGTATTGTTATATTTCATTGATCAGAATGCAAATTGCACACATTAGTTGTTGCAAGATCTTCTTCTTCTTCGCTAAAAGTGCAGGCCACCGCCGGGTGTATTCTCGTACTGGTTAATAAGATAGGACAAACACTACGAATTGCCCTACCTAGCAACATATAATGTATGCAATTTCCATTCTGACTATTGATCAAGTAAAATTATTACAACAGGTGTAATAAGTAACTAGACACTTCACAAAGATGTATGCATTCAATTTGATAACACTGCGGAAACGGACTATTCAAATAGGTTGCGACGGTCACATGTGCCAAAATCTACCGCAGTGCAAAGAGATAATTCTCCCGGATGGTCAAGCAATTCAGCTTGTGTTGAAGGCACCAAGAAAAGCGTTGGCCAAAACAATATCTCACGGAGATGGTGCTCGGCCTACAAGGAAAGGTATATCGCAACGACTGGTCTGCACATTTCCAGGTAGGTCGCTCTCATCATCGCCCCAATAGACAAACAAATGAATAAATAGATAAATAAATAAATAGACAATAAATGAATAACTAAATATCGAACTAAATAAATATATAAATAAATGAAGATAGAAAAAATATTACACACATACCCAATAAATGTGTCCGTTCCTTTTAGGATGCCCCGTATTTTTTGGTTCGAAACCAAAAAAGTCCTTAAAAACATTTAGTGCATTAAAAAGCTAATCGATCCCCCCAAAAATGAAGGGGGGCGTGTAATGAAGCCATAAATCCATTGTCGACACTAACTGGGTTTCGTCATGTTCGTCTTGTCTCTATCTTCCTACCTTTGTTCTCATTTCTCTTACTTTATAGTCAGCTTTACATTTTGCAACAAGAATGATTAAAATATATTATATACAAAGAAATCATACTGTTTTCTGAAATACCTTTGCATTGAAAATAATACAACCTTACCTTTGAAAACGAGCTATCATGGAATGGCGATTTTGTTTTTAACTACTATGCAAGAACGACAATGTAATGATGATACGGTGATCTCTTGAAAATCCTTGCGTTTTACTGTTCCGACGGAATCACATGTCAATATAAATGTCTCAATGATATCTTCAAGTAGCTTGGTGTTGAATGCATATCTCAATCTTTCCATCTTGTTGGAGCATACCATGCTTAAATAACGCCGAATGCAACGAGACAACGGAAGGTTATTCCTGTAACTGTAGTGAGGGGTTCACCGGGCACAACTGCGCTGATGGTAAGCTGAAGTGGGATAGGGTCGCGCCGAATCTCATATTTCATTACTCTAGATCCGCTCCAAACTAACTGATAAGTATAACTACATGTAGAGGTGTCGTGGTATAGTGGATATGTCACCAGACTTGGATCACATGGTTTGCGTTTCGAGTCCCGCTAATGTCCTTTGGCAAGACATTCATCTAGATTTGCACTCTCCATCCAGGTGAAGTAAATGGGTACCCGGTAGGAAGAAATTCCTTGAATGATTTAGCGCCTTATAAAAGCAGCTAAGCTACAGTCGAGGTAATAATATGATACTTTGTATTAAGCGCAGTAGATTATATTTATATAGTAGCTGCACTATATAAATGGACGTATTATCATCATTATTATTTTAAGGTACATGTAAGAATTACTTTCATTTATCAATTTTGTCCAATTTGCTTGTTTACCATTGTTATGTAAATATTTGGTCAATGGAACTCTCGTCCTTTTATTCGTCGGTAAAATGCGCGTACACAATTAGAAATCAAAAAAGTTAAAATGAATATAAAGGGGTAAACGGAAGGAAGAGGAGATGATCCTATTGTCATCCTGATATTTTCTCGTTTTTTACATGTCTGGACTTTTACCTTTTAACCAGATATCAATGAATGTGAAGGTGACCCTTGTCTTAATGATGGCACTTGCAAGGATCGGGTGAATAGTTTTAGGTGTATGTGTCTACCAGGCTATGGTGGAGATCTTTGCGGAACAGGTTAGAAAACTCTTCTCTGTGTATTTGTGTAAAGTCTTTACCAAAAAATTGCGTTCGACCAGACAGAAGAAAATGATAAGGATGCAGAAAAAATAAAAGAGAAGGAGGACGAAGGAGAAAGACATGCTGAAGATATAAACAGTTTTAATATCGCTAGGAGATACCTAAACGTTTCAACGATTAAGTTTTTTTTCCCCGTTCCAGGGACAGATGACGCCGAGTGATATGATGACGATAATATAAGAAGAAAGAGAAGAAGAGGAAAAAGAAGAAGTAGAATCAGATTCATCTCGATAATATGTCTCCTATCTTTATTCAATCGTGTTACGTTTAACCAGATATCAATGAATGTGAGAGCGAGCCTTGTCTTAATGGAGGTACATGTCAGAATCAGGTGAACAGTTTTACCTGTGGGTGTCTCCCAGGATATGCAGGAGACCTTTGCCAAACAGGTTAGATCAACTCTTCTCTGTTCCTTCTTTAAAGCCCCACTGCACTTCTTATAGCTAGTTGCGGCCTCTATATAGCAAACAATTCCTAATCGGTGACCATTGTTCCCGATGATCCTCTTTTTCTCCTGTTAAATGAGAGCTTATTTGATGAGATAACCACCTGATAGCGACTATGCAGGGAGGCCTAATCCCTCCTGGCCAAACTAGTGCGGGGGGGGGGGGCTTTGAATTATGTATTCACATTAATGCGTTCATAGCAAGAAAACTAAGGAGACAATAATGATGAGAGAAGAAGAGTCGTGAGGACGAAGAAAGAGGAGGTGAGGATGAAATGTATCCATGAATGCGAGAGCGACCCTTTCCTTTAATGAAGGGACGTGAGAGGATCAGGATAACCATTTTAACTGAGTGTGCCTACCGGGGTATACAGGAGATATTTGTCAAACAGACTAGACAACTCTTCCTTCTGCTAAATTCTTTCGTACCATTCACGTGTTCAACAGTAAAAAGATGGTGATGATGATGGCGATAATTTTGTTTTTGATGTTTATGAGGATGATAATGAGAACCATGATGGTGGGGAATATGAAGAAGAAGAAAAGTAAAACAGAAATAGAATATAAGGATGAGAGAAGTAAAAACAAAATGAAGGAGTCATGATTCATCTGGCCATTTATGTCCAATCTCTTGATCTTAATACTTTCCATTAGATATCGATGAGTGTGAGAGCAACCCTTGTCTTAATGGTGGCACCTGCGAGGATCGGGTCAACAGTTTCACTTGTGACTGTCCATCAGGGTATACAGGAGACTTTTGTCAAACGGGTGATAAAACTCTCATTCTTTCAGTTTTCAGTAACATTCATATAATTATGCGTAAGCTCTAAGACTTTGGTTTGCATTTTTTAAATGGGTAGAAAGGAGCATTACAATGGTCTTGTAGAGAGTGATAAGTTGCAGAAAGCCATGCATTGGTCCGACAAGTTTAACCTCATGAACTTAAGTATTGTAAATGTGAAAAAAACCCAAAAAGGCCTAAAAAGAAGAAGAAGAAACGGGTAAGTGTCACATTCTTAACATTTGAAAACATATATTTCGATATAATCTTTACAGGTGAAAGGAATTAATTTCAATGTAACGACTTCAAACGGAGTCAAGTATCACTCGACTGATGTTTTTCTGTAAAATTAAATTATTATTTTGTTTAGAGATCAACGAATGCGAAGATGAACCTTGCTGTAATGGAACCTGTGTCGATCTCGTCGGCAACTTTAGCTGCTATTGTTTCGATGGATTTACAGGACCACTTTGTGAACGGGGTAAGTCATGCTGAACTATGATCGATAATTTGGAAGCCTAATTCCTGATCAGATATATTTATGTTATTCTTATGAATTCAAACGTAGTCAAGTATCACTCGACTTATGTTTTTCTGTAATATCAAAAAATTATTTTGTTTAGAGATCAACGATTGCGAAGATGAACCTTGCTGTAATGGAACCTGTGTCGATCTGGTCGGCAACTTTAGCTGCGATTGTTTCAATGGATTTACAGGACCACTTTGCGTATGGGGCAGGTCATGCTGGCTGAACTATGATCAATGTTTTGGAAGCTAATACCTGGGCCCCGTTTTACAAAGAGTTGCGATTGATCCAAATCAATCGTAAGTCCTCCAAACAATCGCAGGTTTGCAGTCTCCTATCTCTTATGTACATATTTGCGATTGATATCAATCGCAAATAAGCTGCGATTGCTCTCAACTCCTTGTAAGGCGGGCCCCAGATCAGATATATGCTTATGCCATATTCATTTGTGATGTTTGAAGTGATTTACCATGGTATAGACCCTTTAATTTCAACGACGTCTATTGACAAACTTTGTGTCATTTTGTTTCTTAATTTAGAAACTGACGACTGTGAAGACGATCCCTGCCGTTTTGGTAGCTGCGTCGACCTGGTGGGAGACTTTAGTTGTTTATGTTTGGATGGATATACAGGACCATTGTGCGGGCAGGGTAAGTCGATAACCTTTATGACACTTTATAAATTAATTTTTGAATTAGATTCTGCTCTTTTAATCACGGGTTCTAGGACAAATATTACCCCCTGGCGATAACCCTTAATAGGAAAATACCCCCGGAAAACTACCCCGAGAAAACTCCCCCCCCCCCCCCGGAATATTACCCCCGGGAAATTCTGCACAATAAAAAACATGAATAATGTATAGATAAACCATGAATAAATAAAAAGGTTTACAATCTCACATATTTACAGAAATTTACAACGTAATTGTAAAAATACCAAGAATATTAAAATTCTCGTCTGTTCTTCATTAACTCAACACAACTTTCCATCCGTAAACATACAATGTAAGATATGGACCTATTCTATATATATCAATATCATACATCTATATGTACACTGTTGACATTGTCATTTCAAACACTTTTTTGTTCTTTTAAAATAAATGCGAAACAATCGCTTAATCTAGAAATCGACGAATGCGAAGACGAACCTTGCTTTAACGGTACCTGTATTGATCTGATCGGTAACTTTAGCTGTGACTGCTTTTATGGATTTACCGGACCACTTTGTTATTGGGGTAAGCTGATATCATTTAGGATGGTCACTTGAGATATTAACGGCTTTAATGTCTATGGAGATGACTGCTGTCTTTATTCAAATAATGTATGTTTCTAGTGACTTGCCATGAAAACCGTATTGTATCAACATTTTATAGATCTTCTATTAATTATCACTGAGAACGATTTCACTTCAGTAGAGTCGAAAAAGTTATTTCCTTTTAATCCATTTGTCTCGTGATAGAGAAAAATATTTCAAATTGAAAAATCATAACATTGTGTAGAATTCATTTTCCTTAATAATCAATATTCGGAAATACATATATTTTGTTAAATATAAATTTCACGAATCGGACAATGCTCTGTAGTAAATTCTCTCAAAGATGAATCATTTAATGAAATGTCAAAATGATCCTTCATATAAGATATCAACGAATGCGAAGATGAACCATGCTGTAATGGAACCTGTATTGATCTGATCGGCACGTTCAGCTGCGATTGTTTCGATGGATTTACAGGACTACTTTGCGAATTCGGTAAGTTATCAAAAGAATAGATTGGGATGACCTAATTCGAGATTATAAAAAGTACTAGCTTCAGCTAATCATGTTCTTCAGTAATATTTCCTATTTAGTATCCGTTCTTGTCATATTAAAATCTTTCTTCATTTCAATGGACCTTCATGTTTTCTGTTCAATCAAAATTATCCTTTCTATAGATATCGACGAATGCAAAGATAAACCTTGCTACAATGGAACATGTATAGATCAGGTCGGCAACTTTAGCTGTGACTGTTTCAATGGATTTGCAGGACCGCTTTGCTATTGGGGTAAGCAGGTATGATTTAGGATGACGGTGTAGATATTACTTGCTTAACATACCTATTGAGTTGATTCCTGTGTTATTTTCTTTAGATATATATGTTTCTATAGTGACTTATACGTACATTCTTGCTCAGAATTTTATCACTGAGAACCATTTTTACTTCGAAAAGGTTATTTTCTGTCAATCCAGACATCTCGTAATAGAGACAAACTATTTCAATTACGGAAAATTATTACACTATGCATAGTATTAAAGGAAGGCATGTCAAAACATTTCTTGATTAGAAATCGACGAATGCGAAGATGAACCTTGCTCTAACGGTACTTGTATTGATCTGATCGGCACGTTTAGCTGCGATTGTTTCGATGGATTTACAGGACCACTTTGCGAATTTGGTAAGTTATCAAAATAATTGGTTCGGATGAATTTATATGACATTATAAAAAAGTACTAGCTTCAGCTAATCATGTTCTTTAGTATCATTTGTCCCATTTTGTATCAATTCTTGTCATATTAAAACCTAGCATCATTTCAATGGACCTTCATGTTTTCTGTTCAATCAAATTATTCCTTTCTATAGATATCGACGAATGCGAAAATAAACCTTGCTCTAACGGTACCTGTATTGATCTGGTCGGCAACTTTAGTTGTGATTGTTTTGATGGATTTACAGGACTACTTTGCGAATGGGGTAAGCTGGTATTATTTAGGATGGACAATTGAGATAGAACGATTGCTTTTTTTCTTCAAATATTTATGTTTCTAGTGATAAGTCATAATCTAAACCGTAATATATTAAAATTATACGTACATTCTTGATCAGAATTGTGCCGATGAGAATGATTTTACTTCGGAAAAATCCTTTTCTTATCAAATAATACTTCTTTTTCGATAGATATCGATGAATGTGCCTCCAATCCTTGCTATAAAAATGGGGTGTGTGTCGATATGGTAGTCAGCTATAGCTGTGATTGTGAGGCTGGTTTTACAGGAACACTTTGTGGTTGGAGTAAGTCATAATGGCTTAGGATGAATAGAGGATTATAAAATACACCTTCATATTAAAAATTATTCTCTGTACTAATCAATGTCTGCATTTAATGACATAACAATATTTAAATAACTGGTTTGAACTGTTTAATTATTTTTGTTATTTCATGCATTTTTTAAATCGTAATAAAAAAGCTTTGGGTTGGAATTTGTCCCTATTCATCCTGCCTGAACACCAGGTGAAGCGTAAGCAAACTCGTCAGACCTAGCACGCTACTCTTCTCGTGGAACTCGTTTGTTCATCCCCCCTCTCAATTCAGTTATCTCGAAATAGAGACAAACTTTTTTAATTAAGGAAAATTATTACGCTGTGCAAAATAAAGGAATGCATGTCAAAAATTTCTTGATTAGACATCGACGACTGCAAAGATGAACCTTGCTCTAACGGTACGTGTATTGATCTGATCGGCACGTTTAGCTGCGATTGTTTCGATAGATTTACAGGACCGGTTTGCGAATTTGGTAAGTTCTCAAAAGAATTGGTTCGGATGAATTTATTTGACATTATAAAAAAGTACTAGCTTCAGACAATCATGTTCTTCAGTAGTATTTGTCCCATTTTGTATCAGTTCATGCCATATTAAAACCTAGCATCATTTCACTGGACCTTCATGTTTTCTGTTCATTCGAATTATACTTTATAGATATCGACGAATGCGAAGATGAACCTTGCTCTAACGGTACCTGTATTGATCTGGTCGGCAACTTTTGTTTTGGAAAATTATTACGCTGAGCAAAATAAAGGAATGCATGTCAACAAATTTCTTGATTAGAAATCGATGAATGCAAAGATTAAACCTTGCTCAAACGGTACCTGTGTTCATCTGGTCGGAAACTTTAGCTGTGACTGTTTTTGCAGGACCACTTTGTTATTGGGCTAAGCTGGTATTATTTAGGGTGGACAGTATAGATATTACTTGCTTAACATACCTATTGAGTTGATTCCTGTCTTATTTTCGTCAAATATGTATGTTTCTAGTGATTTGTCAAAATCTGAACCGTATTATATCAAATTTATACGTACATTCTTGCTCAGAAAGTTATCACTACGAACGATTTTACTTCGAAAAGGTTATTTTCTTTCAATCCAGTTATCTCGTTATAGAGCCAAACTATTTCAATTAAAAAAAAAAGCATAATAAAACATTGCATGTTAAAACATTTCTTGATTAGAAATCGACGAATGCGAAGATGGACCTTGCTCTAACGGTACCTGTATTGATCTGATCGGCAACTTTAGTTGTGATTGTTTTGATGGATTTACAGGACTACTTTGCGAATATGGTAAGTCCTGTTTACTTAAAATGGATTTTAAAAGCTCCCTGCCTTTCATAAAATACATATATTCCTATGTAATTCAATTATGTTTGCTTTTAGTGAAAAATGAAATTACGAGGCTACTTGTTAAAGGGGAGTTGAGGGAAGTCCAGGCGTCCTTTTATCTCGTCTTGCCCCTTCTCCCTTTCCCTTTCTGTTTTTTTTTCACGTTTTCTTCCATTTTCATGTTTGTCACCTCTTGATGGTTTGGGTCAGTGGTAGGGATATGCTACTGAAATTATAACACTGTATAATTTTGAACCTTTTTTCATAATATGCGATTAAAGCATTGGTTTTATAAATCAGCTATTTTTGCAAGAGATATTAGTATAATTTTTTAATGATTCATCTCTTTTAGAAATCAACGAATGTAACAGCAATCCTTGCCTTAATGGAAGCACCTGTGTTGATCAAGTCGGCTACTTTAGTTGTATGTGTATGGATGGGTATACAGGATTACTTTGCGAGACTGGTAAGTTGTCATGAATGAGGAATGATTGTATAGTGATTGCCAGAAGTACGTGCATACACGTTTATAACCTATATCTTCAGTATTCAACGTCAGACATGATAGAATTATGAACGCTTTGGTCAATTCAAGTTAAAGCGCTGTTCAAGAAACCGGTATTATTCATTTTATTATGATATAAGATGATGTGTGATGTCAAATAATGCTTCTTTTCTATAGATATCGATGAATGCGCCTCCTATCCTTGCTATCCATTAAGCACGTGTGTCGATCTGGTCGGCAACTTTAATTGTGCTTGTTTTGATGGATTTACAGGACTATTTTGCGAATATGGTAAGTCATGTTGACTTTAAATGGATTTTGAAAGCTATACCTGCCTTTCATAAAATGCATATAATCCTATGTAATTCAACTATGTTTGCTTTTAATGAGAAGTGAATTTACAAGGCATCTGGTTAAGGGGGAGCTGAGGGAAGTTCAACTCAGGCGTCCTTTTTTCTCGTCTTTCCCCTTCTCCCTTTCCTTTTCTGTCTGTTTTTCTCACGTTTTCTTCTGTGTTCATTTTTGCAGAGTGAATCAGAACAAATGTCCCACTTTTTAAAAGTTGTATTGTTTGATGTATGAATATTTAATCATGAGTTTCATGATACGTCTTGATAGAGTTATACTCCCAGTACATTTATGTATCATTTTTATTTGAATCTCTGCATGCATGACTAAACATCAGGCAATCTTTAAAAGACAGCCAGATCTCATTTGCGCCAAGTTGCTAGGTGAGGAATAGAATAATGCTTTGAACAAAGACAGCCAGTTTTTTTCAATTATCCAATTAGCCAGACAAACAACAAAACACGCACACACAAACACACACAAACACCAACACACACACATGCACATGCACACGCACACAAATGAGCAGTCCATTCCCGACAAAGCCCACCCAAACTGTTACTTTTTGTCGGGAATTCTTCTTATCGTACGAAAAGTTGAGTGGCCGCTGTCCTCTTGGTGCGTATTGGCGAATGTTGTTCTTCATGATAATGATGATGATGATGATGACATGATGGTGGTAGTGAATGTGTACAAAAGTTTTTTTTTTAAGGTTATGCCTCTATCAAGATATATCATGAAACCCATAATTAAATATTCATACTTCAAACAATACAACTTTTAAAAAGTGGGACATTTTTTCTGACTCACTCTGTAGTTCAGTGCACCGGACACTTTTTTTTTTTTTTTGGTCTCGAAATTTCAAAATTTGACATTTTTTTTCTTTGGGGGGGGGGGGGGGTAAGGTCACCTTTTTTAGGTTTAATAGCCGTGGGTATAATTTTTTTAATTTTTTTTTAATAATTATAAAAAAAATTAAAAAAAACCAAAGGGGGGGGGGGGGTTTGAACCCCCCAAACCCCCCCCCCCCCTGCGTACGCCCCTGTGTATAAGTAAGGCACCTTTAAAAATTATACTTACATAAATTTATATTAGAAAAATGAAAAAGATCGTCGGGATATTAATGTTTTTGTGTATCCTTTTCTAGGAAAAACCCAATATTATCCGGGGGGGGGGGGGGGGTAAGCGGACACTTTTTTCTTTTTTTTTGGTCTCGAAATTTCAAAATTTGACATTTTTTTTTGGGGGGGGGGGTAAGGTCACCTTTTTTAGGTTAGCCGTGGGTATAATTTTTTTTTTTTTTTTTTAAATAATTAAAAACAAACAAAAAACAAACAAAGGGGGGGGGTTTGAACCCCCAAAACTCCCCCCCCCCTGCGTACGCCCCTGTGTATAAGAAAGGCACCTTTAAAAATTATACTTACATAAATTTATATTAGAAAAATGAAAAAGATCGTCGGGATATTAATGTTTTTGTGTATCCTTTTCTAGGAAAAACCCAATATTATCCGACTATGCGAAGCATTTCCTTTTCATCAGTTATATATTTTGAAAGAGCTATTTGATTTTTCAAAAACGATTCATCTCTTTTAGAAATCGACGAATGTAACAGCAATTATTGCCCTAATGGAAGCATCTGTGTTGATCAAGTTGGCAACTTTAGTTGTATGTGTATGGATGGGTATAAAGGATTACTTTGCGACACTGGTAAGTTGGTAAGCTGTCATGAATGGGAAATAATTTGATAGTGATGTTCAGAATAATAATAATAATAAATGTGCCTCGGAATAGCATTATCTAGAAAGACGGCGCTATAGAAATGCCTATTATTATTATTATTATTATTTACGTGCATATAAGTTTATATCCTATATCAATAACAAATTATAAAGGCTTTTGCAAGTTCATGTTAAAGCGCTACATTTAAAAAACGATATTATTGATATTATTATGTATTAAATGGTATCAGTATCTTTTTCAGCATTAACTTTTGATGTGTAATAATAATTTTTTGGTATAGTTATTAATAAATTTACCCTCTTTTCTTGCCTTCATGGAACCTGTGTCGATCTTGTCGGAAACCTTAGCTGTGATTTTATTTGTTCACTGTTGACATTCCCGTTTCAAAACACTTTTTTGTTTCCTTAAAACAAATGTGAAATAATCGCTTAATCTAACCATCGACGAATGCGAAGATGAACCTTACAAAATATAACACTATGTCACTTTTCTTTCATATTCCATATTCAGAAATGCATATTTCTGTTATATTATTCTGCTGAATTATTCTTGTGGTGAAACTTAAATTAAGTTCCTTCCTACCTACACTGTCTCTGCCTCCTTACGTTGCTATTTTGTTGTGACTTTGTACATAACATATAATATGTATAAGTAATGCACCTTTGTGAATTGAAATTAGATTAATTTTTATTAGAAAAATGAAAAAGATCGTCGAGATAATTGTTTTGCGTATTACATGTATTTTCTGGGAAGAACCGTTTATTATCATATTGACCCTATCTATCCATACTATGTGCTTTGTTTAAAAAAATCAGCTATATTTGCAAAAGATATTATTTGCTTTTTAATGATTCATCTCTTTTAGAAATCAGCGAATGTAACAACAATCCTTGCCTTAATGGAAGCACCTGTGTTGATCAAGATGGCTATTTTAGTTGTATGTGTATGGATGGGTTTACAGGATCACTATGCGACACTGGTAAGTTTTTATGAACAAGAAATGATTTAATAGTGATTTCCAGAAGTACGTGCATACAATTGTATAACCTATATCTGCAGTATTCAAAGTCAGACGTAACAATTCTATGAACGCTTTGGTCAGTTGAAGTTAAAGCGCTATATAAGAAACCAGTATTTTTCATTTTATTATAATATAATATGACATGTGATGTCAAATAATACTTCTTTTCCGATAGATATCGATGAATGTGCCATCTATCCTTGCGATCCATTTGAGATGTGTGTCGATCTGATCGGCAACTTTAGTTGTGAATGTGTTTTTGGATTTACAGGACTACCTTGCGAATATGGTAAGTCATGTTGACTTAAAATGGATTTTGAAAGCTACCTGCCTCTCATAAAATGCATCAGGCGCGTACGCAGGGGGGGGGGGGGTGTTTGGGGGGTTAAACCCCCCCCCTTTGGTATTTTTATGTGTGTAAACCCCTCTAAAAAATCCCTAAAACCCCCCCCCCCTTTTGATTTTGATTTTTTTTTTTTTTTAATTATTAAAAAAAATTATAAAAAAAAAAAAAATTACCCCCATGGCTGACCTAAGAAAGGTGACCTTACCCCCCCCCCCCAACGGAGCAAAATGTCAAATTTTCAAATTTCGAGACCAAAAAAAAAAAAGTGTCCTCCCCCCCCCCCCCCCCCCCCCCCCCCCCCCCCCCCCCCCCCCCCCCCCCCCCCCCCACTGAGCGACTTCTTGGCCGGCGCGATTTTCAAATTTTCCTGAGTCGTTGCGAAATTTTGGACCCGATTTTAAACCCCCCCCCCCCCTTGAAAAAAATCCTGCGTACGCCACTGAAATGCATATATTCCTATGTAATTCAATTATGTTTGCTTTTAGTGAAAAGCTAAATTACAAGGCTACTGGTTAGGGGAGAGCTGAGGGAAGTTAGTCCAGGCGTCTTTTTTGTTTCGTCTTTCCCCTTTTCCCTTTCCTTTTCTGTCTGTTTTTCTCTCGTTTTCTTCTGTTTTTATTTTTGCCACCCTCTTGATGGTTTGGGTAAGTGGTAGGCATATGCTCCTGAAGCTACACCACTGTATGTACGCCTATTTGACGGATCATCTAATGTTGTTACCAAAGTTTTCTACAATTTTTATGCTGTTGTTATCATCTTTTTGGTGAAACTTAAATTGAGCTCCTTCTTTCGGATCCTTTCTACACTGTCTGCGCCTGCTTACGTCGCTTTTCAGTTGTGACTTTACACATAACATATTTGTGTAAGTATTAAAGGCACCTTTGTAAATTGAACGTAGATTAATTTCTATTAGTCAAATGAAAGGGGTCGTCGGGATATTAATGTTTTGCGTATAATTTTCTAGGAAAATCCCAATATTATCCGACTATGCGAAGCATTTCCTTTTTATCAATTATATATTTTGAAAGAGATATTTGATTTTAAAAAATGATTCATCTCTTTTAGAAATCGACGAATGTAACAGCAATTCTTGCCCTAATGGAAGCACCTGTGTTGATCAAGTTGGCAACTTTAGTTGTATGTGTATGGATGGGTATACAGGATTACTTTGCGAGACTGGTAAGTTTTCATGAATAAGGAATGATTGGATAGTGATTGTCAGAAGTACGTGCATATAAGTTTATATCCTTTATCAATAAAAACTTATAAAGGCTTTTGCAAGTTCATGTTATAGCGCTACATATAAAAAACGATATTATTGATATTATTATGTAATGGTATCAGTATCTTTTTAATCATTAACTTTTGATGTGTAATAATACTTTTTTGGTATAGTTATCGATGAATTTGTCTTATTTTCTTGCCTTAATGGAACCTCTGTCGATCTTGTCGGAAACAATAGCTGTGATTTTATTTGTTCACTGTTGACATTCCCGTTTCAAAACACTTTTTTGTTCCCTTAAAACAAATGTGAAATAATCGCTTAATCTAACCATCGACGAATGCGAAGATGAACCTTACAAAATATTACACTATGTATAATCAATTTTCTTTCAGATTCCATATTCAGAAATGCATATTTCTGTTTTTATTCAGCTGAATTATTCTTGTGGTGAAACTTAAATTAAGTTCCTTCCTACCTACACTGTCTCTGCCTCCTTACGTTGCTATTTTGTTGTGACTTTGTACATAACATATATGTATAAGTAATGCACCTTTGTGAATTGAAATTAAATTACTTTCTAATAGAAAATTTAAAAGGATCGTCGGGATAATTGTTTTGCGTATTACATGTATTTTCTGGGAAACACGGTATATTATCATATTGGACCTATATTTCCATACTATGTGATTTGTTTTAAAAAAATCAGCTATATTTGCAAAAGATATTATTTGTTTTGTAATGATTCATCTCTTTTAGAAATCAACGAATGTAACAGCAACCCTTGCCTTAATGGAAGCACCTGTATTGATCAAGTTGGCTATTTTAGTTGTATGTGTATGGAGGGGAATACAGG